AAAGCTTCTAGTGGCCTCATAAGTTATTTCCTACCACAGCTGACTCTCCAAAGAGCCTTAACAAAGGATGAGGTGACAGATTCTGATTGCGAGTCCCAAAGTTTAATTTTATGCCACTGACTTTCGTTTTCATCTTTTCTAAATGCCGTCTTTTCTAAATGGGCTGAAGTGAATTGTGTGATCTCCCTCACAGAGTTATCTCAGTAACTCCTTTTCAGCTTTTGTGTTAATTCAGCCTACACACTTGTAATGAATGCTATATTCTACAGTGCTTTTCCAGGCCCTGGGAATAAAGCAGTGAGGTTCCGGCCTGCACAGTGCTCACGGCCCACTGGGGAGAGACAGATGCTAAGCAAGTTATGAAGTAAATGTGTAGCATGTCAGATGGTGATATGGAAGAAAATAACACAGATGTGGAAAATTGGGGTATTTGTTTTTTCAAAAGCAACTTCTTCAAATGTCTGGCATTTGGAGTTTCTTTGCATTTAGAATATTTAGTCTCTTCTCGTTGGTGTATATTTTTATAATTATTATATACAACCCTGTATATGTGGTCATCCTACTGGTCTAGCTCTATTTCCCACGCCAATCCTTCTCACACCTCCAAACCAGGACCAGTGTTTTATAGTCCTGACCATAAGCCAGTTCCTCTCCATCTCTTTCCCTTTGCTCATGCAGTTTCTTCCTGGAATGCCCTGCCTTCCTATTCTGATTAACCAAGTGGTACCCATCCTTTAATACCTAACCCAGGTCTCCATTCCTCAGGGAACAGAGCTCCAGCACCACTCAGCTCTGTTCGACTTCTCTCTTCTTCTTTCTGAATTCCTATAGGATCTAGAGCCACAGACTCAATTCCTAATTACACAGCTGTGTTTGGTCTTTTTAATTAGTTTTGTGTATAATAGTCATCTCTTCTAGCTATGATAGAATCTATATAACCGTCAGGGACTTGCCTTTGACTACACTCCGTAGGTCTTCTTGAAATGCTAGGGGGCACAGTGGGTACTCACAAACGTGGATTAAATATTAATTCCAACCGTAGCCTTGTAAATATAAATCTACTCACCAGTTTTCTTTATACTTTTACTTTCCAAATTTAAAAAAAAACATTTTTATTTAATAAGCTCATGGGTTTACCATTTACTGATTTATAAGAATTTGAACATCATTGGTTTTCTCTGTCACGTGAAAGGACAAAATACTCTTCTTAAATGCAAATAAATAATAAAGAAGTTAAACATCAAGAAATGTATTACTTCAGTAAAATTCTAAAAGGAATGTCATAGCTGAGTTGTCTTTTTGTTAAATTGAGTGCTCTAGCAATAGAAGCAAATAGATCTGAATTTAAATCTAACAGAAAATCTCAAAATAAGTGAGAACACAAGATAGTGCCCTAATTTTGTGTTTTTCCATTCTAGCCCCTAACAAGGGAGGTAATAATTGGATTAATGGGCCGTGAAGACTGTGTAAATAGTAGAGAAAAGCAGTCTGTGGAAACCTCACTTAGGGTCTGGGTGAGCGTTGTCAGCCAGGTGCCGAGACTCCTTCTGCAGCTCCCTCTCGGGTCAGGTCGCAGATCTCTTGGAAATCAGTCACCTGACCTTTCTATTTTTTTGGGGGGGGGGGCTCCATTTGTTGCAGACCCATTTCACTGTACATGTTTCCCCTGCTGTCAGAAAGTAGAGCATTCCTATGAAACCTTCCGTAAGCCGAAGTGTCATACAGCGAAGAAGTAATTATCATTGACGTATTATGTCCTTATTTCATGATTGAAACGCTTAATTTATGTATAGTTTTACGCTCATCATTCCACCTGTACAAGCTCTCTTGGCTTTTCTGATACCTTAGCATCCAGCTAAAGGATGTGCAAAATAAATCAAGTTATAGCACAGGTGCTCACAGACACAGTTCAAAGCTGTGGCAGCTTGATGCTGAGATGCTGAGTGTGGTTCCCAGGAAAGGAGCTTGGCCGGACTACTCAAGCTGTTCCAAGTTGGCTCTGCTTCTGTAGGAGCTCACTGCACAGGCAACACTGAATGCTATTTTTACAACAGCGAAAATCCTCTTTGGATTTCTTCCCATTAGCAGAAACAGATAATATTAATGTAGGTCTTTTCCAGAAGTGAAGTGGCATAATGCAGCTTTTGAAAAGGGGGACGGGATACCTATACTAGGTTTTATGGGATGGCTTTCTCTTTTGAAAAGCTTAGAGTAAATTTAAGTAATAAATATTATGGCTCTTATGGATGTATAGCAAGAAATATGTGACCATTCGTTCAAAGAACTGAGGTCACTCATACCCTCTATAGTATACTGACTAATGTTTAATTACAGACTTAAACTCTTTTACTCACATGTTCTTTCAAAGAACTTTGAAAAACTGATTTTTAAATTGACACCCTAAGATATTTTGATGTTAGTTTCAATATGTGTATTTTTGTAAAAAGGAGGTAGAAAATATTGAATATTATGTACAGATGAGGAATTGACCATAACTAGAATCATCATTTCATGATTTGTTAATAGTTGTTAAGCATCTTTTTTTTTAATTATTTTATTATTGTTCAAGTACAGTTGTCTGCATTTTCCTCCCTCATGCCCCCTCCCTTGATTGCACCCCGCCTTGGTTTTGTCCATGTGTCCTTTACAGTTGTTCCTGCAAACCCTTCCCTCCTTTCCCCCCATTAAGTGGGACCTAATCAACAAAACAAGCAAGCAAAATATAACCAGAGACATTGAAAATAATGGGGGTTAAGCATCTTATAAACAGAAGCAGGCTGTCTCTGAAAGAATTGAATAAAATTTTAACATTTTGGTAGTCCTGGAAAATATTCCAGTTTTAGTTAAAAGAATCAAAACCTCCCAAACCTATAACCCTTTGAAAGTCCTGATTTCAGAACACTGCCATTCAGGCCCAAGTACCTTGTTTCTCATGGCAAATTTCACCTAAATTAGAACACGTATAAGACAGAGGATAAGAACCATGATGGATATAGTAACCAATTTAGAAATTTTGATGGCTTCTTAAAGTCTTTTCAACCCTCCAGTATGTACCAAGGTGGATTTCAGATGCTAACATGTGCAAAATCGGTCTTCACTTCAGACAAATAAGTTTTAGAAAAGGTTCCACGGGAAAGTTGAGGAACTGGGGGTTTTTTCCCTCAAGTTGTCTGTGAATGTTTATTTCTTAGAAAGTCTTTGTTTGAAGTTTGAAGACTGCTGTGATAGGTATTTGAACAAGTAGCCAAGATCAACAGATGTGCCGCTCCCCTTGGCTTTACATGTAAACAGTAAAGGGAGCCAGCTTGGTAAAGGTTGCTTGTAGCCTCTGGCATCATCTTTTTGATGGAGCGAGACACAGTTTTACACGCATCTTTATTGTAATATAAACTATTTCAAGTGGAAGAAAATAGCGTGCCTGAAAGTTAAATCTAATGAAGCATAAAATGTACTTTTGTAAATTGGAATTTTGGAATTATGAACTAAAAAATGTGCTTATAAAATAATTTGCTAGTTTAGTGAATTTTAATTTATTTCATTTTATAAAGTTATGAGGATTTTGGCAATTATATCTTAGGACTGTCATTTTAAAATAACATCATTTTTAAATGTGTACATTAATATAAAAAGTAGTGTGTTTTGTAAATAAAATTCAGTTTATTAGAAAATTTTTTTTTACTACTGTGTGCTGTTATTGCAAAGACTTACTTCTACTGAGCATCTTTATAAATTAAAGTTTTCCTAAGTGGATAGTTACAATAAACAGAATATTTTATGTTATACTGTAGAATCAGAAATTACATGTTTATGTTGTGATAGCCTAGTTTTCATTGTGTAACTTCATTTTTAGGATTTCTCTTTTGAGTTCCATACCTTACCATGTCCGATATAATAGTGGTGATTTTGACAAAACGTTTTCATTGTTAATGTAAAATTCCAAATTTAAATTGTATATTACTGAAAGGAAGCCATTTAAATGATCATTAAACTAAATCATTGTTTAAAAAACTGAGTAAAGTGCAGTAGGGTTTTCTTCATTAGACGTAAGCCACTAGAACTTTGTTTCAGTGTGTTCTTTTGAACCTCAGCCTGGCCTTGGAGGTGCCAGCCAAGATGCCGTTTCCTTGGCCTGCCACCCAGGACCCTGATTTTGACTGAGCGTCCCGCATGACTCTGAAGCACTCTAGAGCATGGGAGCCTCTGCTCCACAGCAGTGTCACCTGGTCAGGGATGACCCATAATGCAGAGTATAAGTAATAAACAGTTTATCCGGGAGACAGACCCCGGTCCTTTCTTACATCTTGATTGTGATAGCTTGATTTAAATCCCGTTGTCCTGTCTTTGTAGCTGTGAAGTTTTATCCTCATTAGTTTGCAAAATACAAACTATTTTTATCACTTACTACAAACTGCCCTGCAATTATATGCAGAGTATTTGTAAACTCTGTTTATCCTTTACCCAAATCACTGTAGAATTAGTGAATTAACTGCTGTAAATGATCTGTTTAGTAATTTTTAAGTAGAACTCTCTAATGATGTGCTAAATAAATTCATATATTTTAGTTTAATTTGATAAAATGGATCCAGTACAACCTCTGGTTTCACACATGAAGTGATTCAAAACAAATGTGTCCATTGTAATGGGGTCCTTGCACACTGCCGTGGGATACCTAGCACATTTCTGCCTCACACTTTTCCTAAAATGAAGGCGACCTTTAATCTCTTTCCACAAACCTCCATGCACTAAACTACGTGCCAACGGCATGAGATGCTCGTTCTGACTGCAGTGGGCCATACTCTTGCCTAGTACATCATTTGTGAATATAATAGTTGCCTATCACAATGCAACAGGTATGTAAATGACATGTATCAGTGATCTCTGTAAAACTGATTCCTTCTTTCCCTTTTCATTATAAGAGGAAACTTTATTTCAGAGTAGAAAGTGCATTGTCTGAACTCATCAACACCCTCTCTATCCCTCCCCTCCCCAATTTGTTGCAGACCAGGATGAAAGAGCAGCTGAGCTCAGCAGGGAGCAGAATGAGAAAACCATCCGGAGCACGCAGACCGCGCTCCGCAATTTCCGGGAGTTCCTCATCTCCAAGTATCCTTCCGAAACAAGAGAGATTTATGTCATCCCTTGTAAAGAGCTGGATGCCTACCTTGCCTCTTTCTTTGTGGATGCCAGGCAGAAGGATGGGTCCGAATATGAACCCAATAGCTTGGCCAATTACCAGTGTGGGCTGGAACGGTACCTAAAAGAACACAGGTATGGCTACAGTATCACCAGGGATAAGGAATTCAAGCGTTCTCAAGAGGCCCTGAAACAGAAGCAGATTGAACTCCGCTGCAAAGGAAAAGGAAATAAACCCCACAAGTCCATGAAGCTCACCTTTGCTGATGAGCTCATTCTGCGGAAAAGGGGCTTGCTAAGCCGCTATAACCCTGAGGGTCTGCTCAACCTCGTCTGGCTCAACAACACAAAAGCTTTTGGGCACTGCACAGGCTTCCATGGATCTACCTTGAAGTGGGGTGATATCCGTCTCCGGGTAACAGAGACAGGGTTGGAGTACTTAGAGTGGATGGGTCAAGACACCGGTGACCTGAATGCCAAAACCAAGAGAGGGGGGACAGATTCCCGTGTGTATGCCACCCAGCATGCCCCACAGACGTGCCCTGTGCAGGACTATAAGGAGTATGCCCAGCGGCGGCCTCCTGCCATGCGCTACGAGGATGCCCCTTTCTATTTGTCTATCAAGCCAGTCGTGAACTTGGCGGCTCTGCATTGGTACAACTGCCAGGCCCTGGGCAAGAACAAGCTGGCCAAGATGGTGAAGACCATGTGTGAGAAGGGCAACATCCCCGGCAGGAAAACCAACTTCAGCGTGTATCAGAGCTGCAGCACCTTGTCCGAGGCCCAGAGCAACCAGCTGGTGCTTATCTGTAACAATTTGAGCCAGCAGGCGGCCCAGTCAGTGGCGGGGCACTCCAGCAGCGGCAATTTCATCGTCTCTGCCTCCTACGACTCTTCCTCAGATACTGCATGACCAGGTGGCTTGAGCCTGACCCTAGTTTGGTTACTGTGTCCAGAGAAACTGTGATTATACACTGCTTCTCGTGCCCTTTCCTCTGCCCTCAGTGTTAACTTTATAAAAATATAAATCTATAATATATTTTTCTTTTTACAAATAAGCCAACGGAGATAGTTTAGTATTACTAACATAGTATTTATAGGCTTCCAACAAACGTACTTGTGGATGAGTCAGTGTAATTACTGTTACAGACTTTTTCAAAACCGTAGTGATTCTCAGGCAACACAAACTAGAAAAGGAATTCTGTTTTTTAAAAAACTGTCCAAAAGGAAACTGAGTCATGCTAGTCGCTGTGTCCTCAACTCCCACTTTTTCTTCCCACCGCAATGCTCATTGCTAGTCTACTTAATAAATGGCTTTATTTTTTTAATTTTTAAAATTCTCTATTAACCAGGAGGGGATAACACTAACTTTACTGCTTACACAAAATTACATTCAATCAGATCCAAAATATGAAAGTGTTGGCTGTAAGCTCGACTTCCAATTATTTATATACTTTTTTTTTACTTAATTAGAATTTTAGCCCCTGCACCTCAATTTTTGCAATGTATGAAAATTTAGGGGCTTAGCTAACATTTTTTTCTTTGGGGGGAGGGAATAGAGGGAGGGAATAAGGTACTACTCATTTTGGAACACAATTTAAAAATAATATGCAAAATCCATTTTTATGGCAAAACAGACTGTTACATGACTTATTTTTACTATTGTGCTTGAACTTGGATAGAATTTTTTTGTTCCCTAAGAAATCAGTGTAAATGAAATTTGATGATCAGATTTAAAAGAATTTAAAACTACCAAAGCTTTGAAAATGTTCCCAAGCATTGGATTGTATATCAAGCATAAAGAGAAGGTAGAGAATGGGAAAATCTTACTAAACATCTAGAAGCACTAGTTAAGACAACAAAAAATTCATTCTCTTCAAAGCTCAAATCCCTCTTGAATTATTTATTTATAAGCATTAAACTTCAGTATCTTTTCTCTAGGGGATTACTTGACTCTGTAGTTGAGATCAAAGGAAAATTGACACTCATTTTAGGTAGCAGCATTTGTTACCAGACTTAGCTGAATTCAAAGCATTCTTGCAAATGTGCAAAGTTCCTTCTATAGTAAATGTAAATGCATTTATCTGCATCATCCTGCAATAATAATAATTTTGGTAAACAGCTCCTTGTGGTAGTTTTTCCAGGGTCTTTATTTGCAAGTCTTGAAGCCTGTGGTGAATTATTAGTTAACATACTTCAAAAATAAAATAAATTTAGACATTAGGGCCACAATAAAGCTGAGCTAGGTTCCCATCCTGTATAATCATTAATGCATAAAAAAATCCAAATCTTAATTGCTTTGCTGGATCTGGGCATTCTGTTGGGGAGTATTTGTTCTTCAAGGAAACCTCATAATTCAGTTAGCTAGGAAGGTAGGTGTTGTATTATGTATTAATTTATTGTACCACCAGGACAAATTTCATTTTGATTTGCTTTGCTAAAGCATCACATTAGCTGAACTTTCCCATGGCGAGGCAGCTAGGCAGCTCTTTCCAACACTAAATAATAAGCACATGAAGGACCCTTTCCTCTGAGCTGTGACCTTTGCGTTGGCTTGGGAGTGGGAAGTCTGTCGCAGCCTTTGTGTGGTGGAATCAACTTCATTTCATGACTTCTCCTCCATAGAGAGGCATCCATAAACAAGAAGAAAGGGCAAAAGATATCCTATTTTTGTGTATTAATAATGATGATAGGCACCGTTTTTGATCCAGTATGTGTTCTAGCACTGTGCCAAGTGACTTATATGCTTTAGTTATATAAGAAGTAATTACTAATTGTATGAAAATTAGGAAGTACAGATAAGCATAAACAAGACAAAATGTACACACATTAGCTAGCCAAAAATAACCTCTGTTAACATTTTGGTATATATTTCTTCAGACAGTTCAATATATACCTATGTATTTCTATGTGCATTATCTTTAATCCTTTCAATAACTTTGAAAGGAAGGTAAATTATCTTCGTTCTATGTTGAGATCAAGACAAATCAGTTAGATTATAGCTAAGGAAATGGTACTGTCTGTCATCTGACTCCAGAGTTCTTCTGTTTACCTTTCTTAGTTCCAACTCACAGTTTCCAGTGATTTGAGCCAGAAGTGGGGGCAGTGTCTTCCCAGACCTCTAGGGGTGCTGAGTTCTCTCTCATGGAGGTGCACTCTGTCCCCTGGTCCTCGCATTCATTTTGAACCGTGGGTCTCTTTCTCCCAGTTCTTTATGAAACATTCCTGTTCTCCTTATTTGGTAACTGGTCTTGTAAGTGCATAGGACAGCCTACTGTAAAATAACTTTTTAAAAATAAGGATATTTTTACATAGGGTACCTCTCATGTTTAAGAAAAGGCAGAAGCCTTATAAAGTGTTCTTTGTAAAGAACACTTAAAATGGGATTGTGTGTTTTATTTTTGCATTGACTTTTTTTAAAAATTCTTGATATGATTTAGATAGCAAAGTAAGTTTGTTACAAGGAAGAGGAGCAGTCAGTAAGCAATGAAAACAGAACTAGGAAATTTCAAATTTCTATTTGTGTTTATTGAGGTATTAAACTTAAAATCTGTTTTTATTCCTATTGCATTTTCATTTAGAAGAACACAAATGGAGAATGTGAATTATTTTTTATTTACTTTTGCTTTGGTAACTGAAACCAAATAGGAACATCGCAACAGATTTGGAAAGCTGTTTTTGGAAGAATAGCTTGGTAGACATATAGCCAAATTAGTATCTGTTTGCGTTAAATTATGAAAAATTATCTGCAACTACCTCTAAATTTTGTGATTTTATATAAACAATACTGAGGGCATGCCACTGCAGATGCCATTTTTATTATTTGTTATTGCAGCTTAAGACAAATTATGTGCATACTGTGACAGTGGTAGACACCAAAATCACATATGCGCTTCAGCAACAGTGTGACAGTTTAGCAATATAATACATGCGCTGCCTTTCCAGGCGATCCCATGGTTCATATAGAAACACTAAAACTTTATTTGCCACATTTACACTTTAAGGTCAGTGCAATGTCATGTAAGACAGTTTCCAGTGCCCCTCACGTGATTCTGGAAGTTTTGCACTGTCTGTAACAAAAATGTCAAACCCATCTGTTCGTTCGGATGACATAGCCACATAATTCAATCATCTATATTCATTTAAGTGACTGGCTATTGAAAACCATAGACTAACAGTTTTTTTAAAAGAAAAACATAATGTTTGAAGAGATTAGCGATATTCAGGATGTTAATCCAACAGACCTTATACTTAAGATTCCATTTGTTATCTTGGTTAGTAGGACTGGTTTGAATATGATTCATAAATATACATCAGCTGTTTTAAATGTTTGTTATTTGATCATTATTTTTCCCAATGTCAAATTTTCCCTATGCTAATGCACTCTTCCCTATGTTAAATCACTTCCTGATCTACAAAGGAATAACATGAAAAGTTTCCAGCATAGATCATAGATCAGGTCTCTTTGGTTTTTTAGTTAGGTCATTGTTAGCTGATATCTTTCTTGCGCTCACTTGGCTGTGTCCCGCGACTTAGCTTCCAGTGGCTCAGTGAAATCCAATGACTTCACTGAGAGGACGTGTACAGCCAAAGCAACAAGAGTTGGAGCACCTAGTATCTGGACTCAGTGAGGGTACAAAGATGTAGAAATAGTCCCTGCTCTCAAAGAACTTAAAAAAGATACTGTAATAAAAGTTTCGTTTCATTTTTTGAGAGCCCAGCAAAAAAAAAAAAAACAACTCTATGCCAGTACTGTTTTTGCAGCTTCCCAAACTTTGTACTCATGTTATTTAGCCGTTGGAGATGTTGATTTCCCATAGAATACATAATATTGATTTGAGCATTTTGTGGAGAATCTTCCACAGAGTCTGTTTTAAGATGATTGATGAGTCAGGGCCGTTTTCTACACCATCCATTTGTTCACACAGGTGCACACATGCATAGGGAAGTG